GGATTCAGTTGTATCCTTCAATCGACTGATTAAAAATCATAGTGAGTTATTTCAAAGTTTGTATGAGTCAATGATCATCTTGACTCATTTACTTCTTAAACATGCATTTTCTATTGCATATATTAGATGCAATATAATATTTTCTATCTCATTTTATAGTGAGCTTCAATGTGAAAAATACACATTGAGAGTAGCCCGGTGGGCATAGATGACCAAGCAATGTGAGAGTTCGGAGAAGTCTCACACATGTGTATAAGGGGCAACTCTTGTTATTTTGACAAGAGGCCGCTCACAGGACTTGGACTCATGACATAGTTCCATTGTGATGAGCAAAATTAAAACATACTTTAATTTGACGACTTATAGGTGCATTTAGTGGCCGGGGGACAATTCTATTCATTTAGATATGATATATTTAGGATATTCACCGCCCTTAATCGATCATAAGGAGGGAGTACTTCAATAAATAAACATTCCTTAATTTATTGTGTATGACCCAATTAATTCAATCACTTATTTGTTATAGATTGTAATAGTTTGTAAATGCCACTCATATACTTTAGAGTGCTATGATCTCAAGTAGAGAGAAGTACATATTATTGTACTAATGAATATATTTCCTTATATCCATTCTGTTATGAACAAATTTCAAATCTAAGGAATCCAAATGCATAATGCATCAAATATAATTTGAGATAAAACAATGACATGTTAAATCCATTTATAACTCAAATGAATACACATAGTATATACCAGACATTAGGACTCAAAGTAAAAGTCTAATTAGAACTAGTAATGTCTATATTTATTAAACTCGTGAAAGAGTTAAAGTATAAAGAATGAATAGATGAATTCCACAATTAGAGAAAGCTCTTATTCTCAACATGGCGGACAATCATAAATCTAAATTTAAATTTAATCTCTCATGTAGTGAATCTCTTGTTCTTCAGAGGTTCTATAAGGATTAATCTAAAAACATACTTTTCAATTATACGATGATTTGATTATCACATTAGATCCTCTTAACTTCAAAACATTTATTTTCGTATTCTATTTGGAAATTTGTTTATCCAAATAGCTCTTGGGAGATTTCTTTTACCCAAAATCATTGTTATTTAAAAACATAATAACAATAAATCTTATTCACAAGTATAAGCTAAGAGCTTTTGAGTGATACTTCTTTAATATATACCGATTCATTAGTATACGTCCAGAGAAGTATGTGCAGAGGCGGAGCCAGTGCACTGGGTTGGACTGGACCGGTACAAAGAATATTTTAGAAAAATAATTAAACGAAATTTTTTATCTTAAAAATTAAGTTTTTTTAAAAATTTGGGGTGGGCCATGGCCTAGGTTGGCCCACCCCTAACTCCGCCCATGAGTATGTGTAATAAAGTTGACAATATATTTCTATGAAATAATTTTTAGTCCAAAAATGCCAAGTTTCGATCAAATTGATCATATCAAACATCTTTCTGTTTTATTTGAAAATATATACATTATAGCATATGGCAATGCATACGTGGTACATGTATATGCTTGTATGAAGTGTCAATTAAATTTGTAAATCTTGTGTGGAAGCTCCTCATCACACAAATAATTAATTAATAGAGGAATTGAAGTTGGATATGATAGATGGACTAATAGTGTCATACGAAATATGACACAGTAGTCATAAAAAAACACGACATTAATTATTATTTTTGTATTATAAAAATAATATATTGTGTTAGTTTATATTAATAAGTAAAGTATTCCAAGGTATACGTATATACAAAATAAAAATGTAGAAATCTGGTGATTGAAAAAAAATGAATTCACATCCACTAGCAGAATCATGAATATAGTACTGCTAATAATAGTAATCATAAATGATATTATGAAGAATCAATAATTCAAGGTGTACAAACCCTACATCGTACAAAATTGTCGTTGCCTGAGAAATAATCAAGTAAGTACAAAAATCGTACTTCTTTGGGACATTATCATTAAATGAGATGGCATTCATAGTACTATTAGACATGGGCATTAAATACTTGTGCTAGCATTAATTTAGATGTATACAGGTATGAATTATGAGTGTAAAACTCACAATACGATGCCCATGAGTCTCATTCGGTTTCAATAAAATAAAACAGTTATAAAGTTACTGGCCTAGTTATTTCATGTAATAATTCGTAGTTATACTTTGTGTTAAATTGCTAATTAACTCTTATCACAATATGAGTTATCTATACTTATCTAAACATGTTAATTTTTAAGATCAGATGTATACATAGTATATATTAATGATAAAAAAAACGAGAAAATGTTTCTACCGAAACAGAAATAGTATGCCCCTTAAAATGATCTGGGAATACTCCGTACAATATTGGTGTTTATGCAAAAGCTAAAAAATGTCTTCAAAAAATTTAAATCACAGGGGTATTTCTCAAGAAAAGATTATCAATTAAAAAGGAGGCTCCAAAAACAAATCACCTTTTAAGGAAAAATCAGATATTCCTCTTAGTTCCAAAAACCAGATTTTAGACAAGAATTCAAGTTAAATTTCTGAGTAATTTTAGGGATGAATACTTACCTAGACGATTCAATCGCAGGGATAACTAGCGTGGAGGGGTTCTAGGAGTACAACACTGTCATGAATCATCCTGATAGCTGATGCAGACCTCACTAGGGGACTACGATCTAATTTCGGTCATCAGACCCAGCGACGGCCGACCCTATGGCTGCATCCAATCATCAGTAGCAGATCCGGCGACCGTGGTCGATCCAGATGGCGTTAAGCAACACGGAGATGCTGGAACGGCGGAGAAATGGTAGGTAGAGCGTGACCCCACCGTGGAACAGCGGCGAACAAGTTGCAAGCGGTTTGCAGAGTTCGGTCGAAGGCGATGGCAGTAGGCATTCATAGAAAACCAGCGCTGGGGACTTCTTTGATGGGTGCGGGTAGTTTCAAGGGAGTAAAGGAATCCGGAGATGGCCTTTTTCTGGTGGTAGCGGCTGAGCAACCTACGCATAAGGTGTTGGCTAGTAAGAAAAAAGGGAAGGGGGAAATTAGGTCTAGAGCTCTCGTGCTGATAACGTGTTGTAGGGAAATTGTTCGTAGAGTTTCATTAGCGAATGCCGCTATAAATAGGGATAGAGTAGGGTTTACAAGTACGGGCCAATAGACCCATATTACATAGTTTACATAGAAATGACCCTAATACATATTCTATATAAACGATAGCACACTACATAAAATTTCCTTCAACAATTAAATGAAAAACGGCTAGAAAATCAGAAATGTTTGAAAAATAATTCTACATTTTTCAAACAATGAAGCTTAAAAAAGAGTGAATTTGAATACTATGGTGGCATGAATAATTACAAAAAAAAAATGACTGCAAGTTACTTTAAATTGAACAAAGACTTATCTTTACTAAATGACTGCAATTGATAAGAAGAGGCATCCCACACTTTCCCCTGCAAATAAAAACGTTCTAAAAAGCCTGAAGAAGATTGAACTAACATTTGACTATAGGAGTGATTTTTTTTAATTAAATCTAAAAATAAAAAAGGAGAAACTCTCATAACATTTTACTTCGCTATCCAAAAAGGCTTAATGCTCTTCAACACAATACTTTTAAAAAATTATATAATCAAAAGTGATATGTTTAACTCCCATCAAAACTACGACACCCGCCTTTGCAGAAAATCAACTGTTTGATTTCTGCATATCATATGACTAAAAGTAAAAAGTAAATGTAAAAAAATTAGACTGATCGAGGTGGAGAGTGTAACGGGGGATTGAAATGATTTTCATCTATGAAAATCATGGATGAAAATAAAACTAAAGGACGTAAAACTAAAAATTACCATAACGAGACACTAGCGACGAGCTCCGTTGATTAAAATCGAAATTTTTTGTTAGACGAAGAATCTGAAGAACGGGACAATGGAGAAGGAGGGCGTGGAGACTCGAAGGTGGAAGGTGGAAGGTGAATCGATTCGTTTCCGTAAAACCCTAAGGTGCTTTTGACTTTTTTTTTTAAGAAAAAAACACTTATTTTACTAAACACTACCAACTTTTACTTTCTCGACTTCCGTGTAGAATCTACTTTTTACTTTTTCTATTACACAAAAAACACTTATTTTACCAAATACTACCAACTTTTACTACTAATCACTTTTTCTCCAAAAGTGCTTTTATTTAAGCACAAGCGATTGCAAACAAAGCTTAAGTGGCGTAATTATATACTTCGTATATGGTTTAGAAGTGGGCTGTGTGCTGATCAGTGAAAAACAATTGGACTGGGTGGATTTGTTGATAAAGAAAAAACCTATGGGCTGGGTGAGCTTATTGCTCAATGTTAAAAAAAAATGGATGGTGGACAGTGTATTGGGTTGAAATTAAGCACTTTTTAGATAATTCTTTGTATGTTTTAATAAATGAAAATTGCATGATTTTAAAATATTTTTAATATTATTAGTTTTTTCAGTCTTCTTTCATAGTATGGAAAATGTCATTTATGACAATGAAAAACACTGTTAAATTGAAATTTGAACAAGTTAATTATAATCTTCCAATTGTCATTACGTTCGGGTATTTAACTAAAAAGATACGTAGTATTGATGAATATAATAGATTAGAAGGCATAGCAAAAAATATGCTACAGATAAATATTTAGCTCATATATACTTTGTAATTTTTTTCTATTTACGTTCTTTTATTTCCAAATCACTCTCAAACCACTCTCTAAAACTTTATAGTAAAAAAAGCACTACTTATTATAATTCGTGCAATTGTTAGTTTTATAAAACTTGGTATTTGATCAAGTTAAAACACACATATCTTACGTAGTACATACCGGGATTTGGACATATTTGTAAATATTAAATACTATAAAATAAATTGTCATAAAAGGAAGTGTAAAAAGTTGTGGATAAATCCTAACTTTATACCGTGATTATCATTCATTTTGAAATCAAACGTTTCATTTCATATTTATTTTATTAGTGTTTAATTTGTATATAATACTTATACTTATGTCCCCCTAAATTCGGACAAAAGGTGTGGTGTGATTATAAAGAAAGGTGAAATTGAGTAGTACATATTAGTTAATTGGTAAAGAGTAAATAAATAAAAAATTGTAATCAATCAAACTTTATAAAATATGGCATGACACAAACTTATTCGAATGGATGAAAACAGTAAAGCGGGGCAAAGATAACGTGGCAAGGAGTAACACATGCGATATTTTAATGCATAAAAGTCTTCGTTTTGCTAAACTTTCACAATATTTTGTGAGTCATGCCATCAACATGCTACGTATTTAGTTGAGTGTAACTACTAAAATTGGTGTATCCAATCATGAGATCACTTTGAAAGTTGGTACTCATGTGATGCTTTTGCGAAACATAGACCATTTTATGGGATTATGCAATAGTACTAGGATATAATCAGTAAGCTCGATGACCATATTTTAGAAGCCACAATTATCAGTGGTAGAAGCATGGGTGAACACGTTCTCATTCCAAGATTATCACTAACGCTTTTAGATGAGAGACATCCATTCAAATTTCAGAGTAGACAATTTCCAATAATGGTTGCTTATGCAAAGATAATTAATAAAAGTCAAGAGTCAAGACCAATCTCTCTCTAATGTGGGGTTGTTGAAGAAATCTCTCATGGTCAACTTTATGTTGCGATTTTCAGAGTTACTAATTGAAAAAGGTTGAAATTTTTGTTAGTAGATGGTGATGCACAAAGCATAATGTTGTCTACAAAAAAGTTTTTCATAATTTGTAGATCTAATGTTTCTTATTCAACTTTAATTCTTTTAATTGATGTGACAATATGATTTTTGAGAACGTTTTTTTAATTATATATATTTAAGCTTTTTGCCGTGCATAGCACGGGTGAGCTACTAGTAATATAATAGTAGCAAGATTCCTCCATAGTACCCTTGAAGTTCTCCTTATATCGCTTACATCAATGAGCAGTTGCAATTATTTGTAGCTCACGCACCATCACACCATAATTAAAATTCAATGGCATCAGCTCCAACACCATTCTCCATTCTCCAGCAGCTCAAATTTACGATTCTCATTCGCACTTGAATTGGCTAATCTGCAAGTAAAATGAAATGCGTCAACAGCAAGCACGCAGGAGAGTCAACGAAGCTAAAAGAGAGGCAGGGGTTGAATTGTTGAAACTTCAAAGAGAACATGGAGAGCAGAGTTGCAGGGGTTCAAAGGGAACGTGGAGAACAGAGAGGCAGGGGTCCAAAGAAGAAAAGAAGAATAGAAGAAAACTTCTACATTGGGCTGCACTCAAATATTTTTGCAAAGTTATTATGAAAAGAAACTGTGATGGAAAAGATTACTACCACCATGGCAAGTGATGGAATAATCACCCAAATTAATTGTGGGAATACAGAACATGAACTTTAGCTAGATGCAGAGATAGGAGATTATTACCATTGCTGTCCTGGTGCCAACCTCACGAAAGTCAAACTTCTATCTTCTTTGAATATGCAATGGTAAGCCTTGGCTTGAAGAGTCTTAACCTCTCCCGAAATGGTGTCTTTGGCTAGGATTGTTATATAGTAATTGTAACCACAACAACGTCCATAGTTTACTTTCTTGATCCGCACTAGATCCAGCTTTGCATTCTAAAATTCCCATAAAAAAACAGTTAGTTCATGAAATTAACAAAAAGAACAGTATTGATCTGATCCTAAGTTTCAAAAGGCGCATAGAAGAAACTTAGGTTCCAATAGTCAAGGCGCTAGCCACTAGGCACAGACAGCTAAGGTAAATGGCGTATCTGTATGCTAAACAGATTATCGTTACATATTATCTTGCACTCAAAACATTAACACCATGTTTTGAATATTAATATAGGAATGTGCTTCATAATATAAGACTACATCTCTAGCAGAGCATAATACAAACTAAATCATACAGAAATATCAACATCAAAACTCACAATATTAACAAGTTCAGACTTCATAATTCATAACATAACAGAACATAACATAACATAACATAAAGCAAACAAACCAAACAAACCAGATGACTGTAACAGATATATATTCCCTCTAAAACAATTACAGCTTATCATAAAAAAACAGGATAATGGAAATCGTTCGAAAAAAATAGAGGCGCAGTGCCTCACACCTAGGACTAGCCGTCCTAATGCGCACAACTCATGGAACCTACGATGCCCAGACTTACGAGCTATATTTCACTGCCTCACTATGTGCATTGTGCTTTTTCGTACTACCTGCTTCTCCTCTACCGGAGTTCTAAGTTGGGCAAGGAGTATGCTGGTCAAGCCTTGGACGATTTCAAATCTACACAAGCGGGCCCACGTCACTAAATGACACGCGGCTTGTTTGGGTCAGATATTTTAGATGGAAGTGAAGATATATAGTTTCTAGAATAGGTGTCCATTTGAAAGGTCAAAGGTATAGTGAAGATAAATAACTATATAGAAATACAGGGACTAACTGATCATGTACCTATTTTAGTATTTCTCATTAAAACAGCTAACGAATATAGATGAAGTAGTAAAATAAAAATTAATCCTTCCATTCACAGAAATCAACACACCAAGCAAGCTCAGGGAAAGGATACATAATGACAAGAGAGCAGGGGAAAGATATTACTTTGAAGAATTACTATGTAACACATACGTTATCAGCATTGTACTGATCAATGGCCATGGAGGTGTAATCCTTCACGGAGCTATAATGAGATGGATACTGATCCTCGTCTTCTGAATCGTCCTCTGAATCGTCCTCTGGATCCTCCTCTGAGTCCTCCTCTAAATACTCCTCCACATACCCATCCAAAGCCTCCTCCGTATAGAGTGGATGTACTGCGCCAAATTGGATACCATCAGGTACAGGGGGACATCAAAACCCTAACAACAAAGTAAAACTGAACAATTACGGAACAAAGTAATCTATTTTTAAGTCACTATAATTGACAACCGTATAACAAAAGGAAAGGACAGGGCACGCTGATAGGTCACCTGAGACTCAACCAGCCGTCTAATGTACACCTTCGTCTCCTTCCAAGCTTCTTCACTCTCATACTCGCTCCTGCTTCCGGCATAATCCTCACTGTTGAAACTTTCGGTGTCGTCGTCGTCGTCTTCGCTTCCCAATGTTTCATGTGACACCGGTGGTATTTCCTCGCTCGATATGGTGCTATGGTTGCTATCATCGCTTGTTTTTCCTTCCAAATATGATGGATCAAAATTCGAGAAGTTGAATGTTTTTTCTCCGCCGATGAAATCCGTGTTCAGCATCTCCATGGACGAACTTCACACGTAGAAGCCAAGCAATTTCGTTAATTGGGATTTGATATTGCCGATATTAACAACATGCGGGTTGTATTTGATCATGTGACTCCGTTTAGGTTGTACGAGCCCTAATGCCTTAAGGATATTTGCCTTAGTGATTGCTCATGAATCATGATTGTGGATTTTTAAATTTTAAGTATAAAAAACTGTATAGGCTTGGTATTTTGATCATTATATTTAATATTTTTTATTAGAAAAAAAGGAAAATTTATATGAAAAAAGTTTAAATAATTTTCTACCAATTCTCATAGTATTGGTAACTTTAGCCACAATAAAAGTAAGTTTACATTATTTTTTCTTATTTAGAACAGAATGCAGCACGCGTGATAAAATTAGTTGATAGGTGTGATGAGACGAAAAAGAGAGTTACCAAAGGAATTATATATCATTTTATTTTAAAAGACTAAGAGCCCATTTGGTAGCATGAAAATATGTTGATTAGCTGATTCTGCTGAAATTGATGAAGTTCTGGCTGAAGTAGCTGCATTGGCTGATTCTGCTGATTTAAGAAAAAAAAATTAAAATATATTTTATTAATAAAACAAAGAAAAAATTATATGTAAAATAGCTAAAATGATCATTTACAGTAACTTCATCCAATATAGCCAGAAAAGTAGTTTCAACCTACTTTTTCGGCTTATTACACAATTCAGAGCGTCAAAGCAAAAATTACGTGTTTGGTGAAAAAGTTGGCTGATAAGTCTCATAAACCAGAAACAGCGTTGGCAAACGGCCTATAATAGAAATGTTTTTTGTACACAAGTTGTGCACAACTTGTACACAAATGTCAGACAAAAATAAATGGTGCGTTGGCACATGGGAGCTACGCGTAAGCATATAGACACTGAAATGTTTTTACACGGAAATTAATGTTTGTGGAGACAGACACAAAACTAATGTTTGTGACCTTGCTAGTGTTAAATCTGAGGCCATCACTTCACCTCCGGTCCTCCACGCACACCATCAACATAAATCTGCCCGTTAAGTTGGCAGCTTAGCCTTCAAAATTAATTACTAATCTACCTTGAAAATAATTTTCGAGGTTTGCCGCCAAAACATGACAGATTAATCTTGGCCAATTTAGAGAAAAATGCTAATCTTGTCAAAATATGAAATCCAACTTTATATCCGAAAACCAAAAAATTTAGTTGAACAGTAATTTTGATTTACACAAAAAGTGTGTAGCAATAATATGATTGTGGGTGTACATTGTTGGTGTGAACTCGGAAAACAAAATATTAATTAAATAAATATTAATCACAATAGTCAAAGGGCTAGTCCTGGAGCCAAAAAATAGGAACGTTGTGGGAATAAACAAAAATTAAATCTTATTCTTAGTAATAGTGTAGAATTAATTATTAGTCAGTTTCCTATTTGTATTTGGTAACTTGTTTATTATAAATATACTCTCAGGGCTACCAGTCTGGTTAAGCCTGTTTATTATTCTCACATGGTATCAAGAGCCATCCCTTTACCCTAAATTTTTTTTTCGGTTCTCATGGCTTCGTCCGCCGCCGCCGCTGGACAAACCACCGCAACCACCACGACGATGGCAGCGCCTCTCACCACGGCCGCGCCCGTCACCATGCCGGCAGTTTCTTCTATTACGTCTGCTCCGGTCTCTTTCTCGTTTGGCTCGGCGTCCACTGCCTTGCAGCCGCCGCCTTTTGATGCATCGGTTTGGGTTCCACCGGTGTTTGACTGGTCTACTCCGGTTACTGCCACTCCTTCGACTGGTCCAGACTCAGCCACACGGTCAGTTTCGGCATCCTCCTCCTCCCGGATGTTTTTTGGCGGTCCCACGTTTTCTGGAGTACAAGGATTAGCGCCGCCGCCTACGGTATCACCGATAGGCCGACCGGCAGCAGCCCGCACTGGTTCCCTGGAGGCAATTGCACAAGCTATGGGGTTTTCGGCTCCCAATATTACGAACATTGTTACCACCAAGCTTGATGCAGTTGAAGATTATCTTCCCTGGCGCACCCAATTTGAATCGTTTTTGGTTTCTCACGGTCTCATGGGGATCCTAGATGGTACTATCACTGCTCCTCCTCAATTTATTTTCGATGCTACTCGTAGAGAAGTTGTGAACAACGAGTATTATTATTGGCTAAAGTTAGATCAAACAGTTCGTTCTTGGCTGTTTGCTACTTTATCCCGTGATATACTTGTTGAAGTTCATACTCTTCAAACTTCTGCTACCATCTGGGACAGACTTGAATCTAGATTTATGGCTGCCAGCATGGCTCGTTCTATGGAATTAAAACGCATGTTTAATAATACTAAAAAGAAGGACAATCAAACCATGGAACAATACATGCGTGAAATTCAGAAAATTACCGATGCCCTTGCCACGATTAATTCACCGGTCTCCCTGAAAGATATAATTGAGCAAACACTTCTAGGCCTTGGTCCTGATTATGAGTCTATAATAACCACATTGACTTCGTTTCCGGAGGGACTCACGTTTGATAAGCTACGGAGACGGCTCGTTGAGCAAGAGCAACGCATTCTTTATCTTCGCTCTCAGGAGACATCATCGCCCGCTGCTTTTGTTGCTCAACCCGTGGCCCCGGCAGCTCCTGGCAATGATCCGAGAGGTGGCAATCAATATCATCGGGGACGCGGACGACGTGGTCAGCGTGGTAGAGGCAACCGCGGCCGAGGACGCGGGAACGGACAGCCACACCAGCCGAACTACATGGCTCCCGGGTACGGCCCGCAGCCTGGCTACTACCAGCCACGGCCGGGACAGCAGCCCCAAGGGGGGTATTTTCAGCCGCCAGTATATCATCCGCAAGCTCCTTCTCATGGACGTCCAGGTTCAGTTATATGTAATACGGTTTTTTCATCGTTACATACGCATCCCTACTTTATTTATGGTACTAATCATAGCTATGCAGGCTCACCGTTAGTTGATGGACAATTTGGTTCTATTCCTCCACCGGTTGTTTGTCAAATTTGCTATTCACCAGGTCATTCTGCTGCTTCCTGTCCGTCCCGTTTTTCACAGCCATCTACTCCTGCTCTTGCTGCGCCCGTGGGTGATACTAATGACGCTGTCTGGTTCCCAGACTCCGGTGCTTCTGCGCATATGACTCCTCAGGAAGGTACATTAGTTAATAAATCTGCTTATTCCGGACCACTTACTGTTACTGTAGCTGATGGCACAAATTTACCTATCAAAAATATTGGCAATATTTCCATTAATTCCTTGTCAAGGCCTCTTCATTTAAAATCTGTTTTTCATGTTCCTCATATTAAATATAATTTATTATCCATTCAAAAGCTATGTTCTGACAATAATTGCATGGTGATTTTTGATAAAAATTCTGTTTTTCTAAAGGACAAAACCACGGGGGCAACTCTTCTTCAGGCTTCCAGTAGCGGATCCGGTCTCTATCCCATTCGTCTGTCTCCATCTCCAGTTTTAGCTTTAGTTTCTAGTGCGGCGCCTGGACCACTGTGGCATCGTCGCTTGGGACATTGTGGCAGTAGAGTTTTAGATGGTCTTAAGAAGTCGGGTCAACTATGTAGTTTATCCTCTTTTAATCATGATTGTTCCTCGTGTCGTTTGGGTAAATCACAAAGATTACCGTTTCAAGATGTTTTCCATAGTGCTAGTAAACCTTTATTTTTAATACATTCTGATGTTTGGCAGTCTCCTGTTTTATCATCTTCTGGATTTAAATATTATGTTTCCTTTATTGATGATTTTTCTCGTTTTACGTGGATATATCCCATGCGGCGTAAAAGTGAAGTCTTTACTCATTTTAAATCTTTCAAGTGTCTGGTAGAAAATTTATTGGATCATAAAATTAAAATTTTTCAAAGTGATGGAGGGGGTGAGTTTGATAATTTAAGTATGCGATCATTTTTTAATTCCAATGGAATTCTTTTTAGAAAATCTTGCCCTGATACTCCTCAACAGAATGGTTTAGCAGAACGCAAACATCGGCATTTACTTGAGTTAGCGCGAACCATGCTGATTGACGCTGGTCTGCCCGCCAGTTTTTGGGTTGAGGCTATTTTAACTGCTGCTTATATTATCAATCGATTACCCTCCACGAAATTTACTGGTTTTTCTCCATATCAAAAATTATTTCACCAGACCCCTGACTTCTCTTTTATGCGTGTGTTTGGATGCGCTTGTTTTCCTAATTTCACTGCCACTTCAGCAAATAAGCTCTCTCCTAGGTCTGTTCAGTGTGTTTTTCTAGGATATGCTTCTGAGTATAAAGGATATCGTTGTCTTGATCCTCGGTCTGGTAAAATTTATATTAGTCGTCATGTCCGGTTTCATGAAAATATTTTTCCTTATTCCGCTCTTGTATCTTCTCAGTCTTCAGACTTGTCATCTTTCCACCCTTGTCCGCTGTCCATTTTTCGTTCCTCCATGCCCTTACCAACTACTACTGCACAGTCATTGCCCTCGGCAGATTTTAACTCGGACACACGTGCATCATCATCACCAGTGCACTGCTCGTCGGCACTGGATACCGCCGGTTTTCAGCCATCAACGCCAGAAAGCACCGGGCAGCAGTCTGTTACACCGGGCACCTCCACGACCCACTCTCGGTCTGGTAGCGTGACACCGCCAGCTGCTGTCCCGGACAGTTTTGCCGAGATAGGATCGTCATCCCAGGCTGCTACCGAGGGTGGTAATGTGCATGTCTCCGATAATTCTATCATTAAAAATATTCATCCCATGCAAACAAGGTCTAAATCAGGAATTTTTAAACCCAAAACAATTTTTAATTTAAATACTGAGGTTTTGGTTCCTGATCCTACTTGCTTTTCTATGGCTAATAAAGATATTAAATGGAGAGCTGCAATGGCTGAGGAATTTAATGCACTTATTGCTAATAATACATGGGAATTGGTGCCATTTGACTCTGGTAAAAATGTGGTCGGGTCTAAATGGATCTATAAAACTAAATATCGTTCTGATGGTTATGTTGAACGACATAAAGCACGTTTGGTTGCTCAAGGGTTCAAACAGCAAGCAGGAGTTGACTTTTCTGAAACCTTTAGTCCTGTTGTCAAACCAACTACTGTCCGCATTGTTCTGACCTTAGCTATTTCATATCATTGGCCTATTCGTCAGTTGGATGTTAAAAATGCCTTTCTTCATGGTCATCTAACAGAAGAAGTTTACATGCGTCAACCACCTGGGTTTATTCATCCTCAGTTTCCTAATCATATTTGTCGCTTGCGCAAGGCCATTTATGGTCTTAAACAAGCTCCCCGGGCTTGGTTTCACAGATTCAGTAGCTTTCTTTTGACTCATGGTTTTATCTGTAGTCGTGCTGATAATTCCTTGTTTATTTTTCGTCAGGCCACTCGAACCATTTATTTATTACTATATGTGGATGATATTATTATTACTGGAAATTCTTCTACTCTTATTAGTAAATTTATTTCTCTTTTAGGGAAATATTTTGCTATGAAAGATTTAGGGGATATTCATTTTTTCTTGGGGGTTCAGGCTGTGCGAAATTCCTCTGGTTTATTTTTATCTCAGGCCAAATATGTGTCAGATCTTCTTACCCGCTTCCATCTTCACACATTAAAGTCTGTTCGCACGCCTTTACCTAGTAGAACTAAGCTGTCTCTCACTGATGGTGAGTTACTTGCTGATGCTACGGAGTATCGTAGTATGGTAGGTGCATTGCAGTATTTGACTATGACTAGACCTGATATTACATATGCTGTTCACTTAGTATCTCAGTTTATGCATGCTCCTCGTACTTCACATATGTTGGCTGTTAAGAGAATTTTCAGGTACCTTCAGGGCACAATTACTCACGGATTACATCTCCAGCCGTCCCCTCATCCACATTCTGTTCTGGCCTATTCTGATGCTGATTGGGCTGGTTGTCCTGATAGTAGTAGATCTACATCTGGTTATGCTATTTTTCTTGGTCCTAATTTGATTTCCTGGCGGTCCAAGAAACAACCCACTGTCTCTCGATCATCTACAGAAGCTGAGTATCGAGCCATTGCATACACAGTTCAGGATACATTGCACATTCGCTCCATCCTGTTTGAGCTTGGGTTTCCTATTCATAGACCGGTTCGATTGTTATGTGATAATGTATCTGCTTCATATTTGTCTGCAAATCCCATACAGCATGCTCGAAGCAAACACATTGATATTGATTACCACTTTGTTCGGGAACGTGTAGCTCATGGTGATCTCCTGGTGCAGTATGTTCCTACGAAATTTCAGCTTGCTGATATCTTCACCAAGAGTTTGGCTCCTCAGCAGTTTTTATTTTTACGAGACAATCTACGCATAGTTCCTCCTGCATAGATTGAGGGGGTGTAATAGTGTAGAATTAATTATTAGTCAGTTTCCTATTTGTATTTGGTAACTTGTTTATTATAAATATACTCTCAGGGCTACCAGTCTGGTTAAGCCTGTTTATTATTCTCACACTTAGAAGATAGCTTTTCGGATGACATTTGTGTTCGCATGTTGCGATTTTACTTCTACGTTTTCGGAATTTGATCGCACCCCCTGCGCGAGAAGAGAGTCTGTTCACTTAGAAATCGTAACTCCTTCAAAGAAGGTTCCCTTGATAAGGGAATGAAAACCTCTTATGTTTTCCGTTATGGAAATATCACATTAGAAACATAACATTTTTTTAGTTTTCTGCATTTCGACGAGTGAATTTCGAGAATCAATTTCTCATTCACCCGTTTTGAGTGTACCACATATCAAATTGTAGCCTTTAACAAGGGAAACTCAAAACCACTTTGACCCGACCGAAATCGGAAGTGAATCCTACTCAAAATATTGTCCAAAATTGATCATTAATGCAATTTTTAAAACATTTTCCAAAAATCCCCTGATTTTCGAGACTAAAAAGACACTAAAAAGTTTCAATGGCCTTAAAGTTCCATCCCAACTTTCCAAAACTGGAGACCAGAATGCGGTCCTTTGCACTTTATCAATTGGACTATGTTTCTCTCTCTTTTTTTGCTTTTTTTTTTTCTGAATCTTTAGATTTGACAAAAAAAACTTCAGCCATGTTACCCCTTTTCACGTTTAGTAACTTTTGTTTACTTTAGCTTTAAGCTAATAAGTAATAAACTTCCCAAGTTGCTTAAGTAATGTGAATGTGAAAGTCCATAAAAAATTAATAATATACTTCCTCCGTTCTTTTTTAATTGCAACGGTCAACATTTCATGTTTGCCAACGCACATGTTTGACCATTAATATCTTTCATTCCCTATTATTAAAAAATTTAAAAAAAATCATATTTTGAAATTTTAGAATGTCAAGAATTTAACAATATTTTTAAAATTTTAATTTATTATACATCAATTAATAAAATGTAGTCAAAGTAGAAGATGTGAATAGTGTAAAAAGTCCAATGTTGCAACTAAAAGAGAACGGAGGTAGTATCTTGAAACAAAATCACTGTTGTGCATTTGTGCTTATATTCTATTTGTGTTTATAAGGTTTTGGAAAAATGATCAAATAAAATCTTCTACTATAATTAAAATATTCTATTTGTGCTTAATAAAGTCATATTTTTATTTTGAAATGTAGTTGCACACTTACATATTCAATCCACATTATCAACACATTTTTAATGCTACTTCAACCATAATCCAATACTGCTTTTAATTTTTTAATAAAATAACAAACTAAATTGCATATTTTTTGGGATTTTTTTATTTAGTCACTGCCTTAAAAAGAAAAATTCATCATTATATACATATATCATTAAAAGAATAGATAATATGCATAACGGTTGAATCAAATAACCTAAATTACTTTTTAAACGAGAACACTTTAGAATTCGATTTTAAATTGATTACACATACGATGGTGATAGATAATAACAAAAATGATGATGATGAAGAAGAAGATGATGATGATAATAATAATAATAAAATAATAATAACAACAACAACAACAATATTGATAGTGATGGTAACAATAATAATAATGGTGACGCTAACAATAATAACAATGATGCCCATGGTGATGGTAGACCCGTGGTGCGGTGGTGGTAATGTTCATAATTTTACTACTACTAATACTAATATTAATACTAAGGATGTTTTCTTTTGAACTGAAATTTGCTGGTCTGGTCTGATCTGGTCTGGTCTGTTTAAGTCTGGTCTGGTCTGGTAAACGTCTGGTCTCTGTGTATTTTATAACTATCCAAGTCTGGTCTGGTCTGGTCTGTTTAAGTCTGGTCTGGGACTGAAAACAGTCCAAAAGAAAACATCTTAATACTAATACTAATAATAATACTAATAATAATAATAATAATAATAACAATAATAATAATATTAATAATAGTAGTAGTAGTAATAGCAGCAGCAAGATTCCTCCATAGTAGCCTAGCCTTGAAGTTCTCCTTATATCGCTTACATCAATGAGCGGTTCCAATTATTTGTAGCTCAGACAGACAGACACTATCACGCCATAATTAAAATTCAATGGCATCAGCTCCAACACCATTCTCCAGCAGCTCAAATTTACTATTCTCATTCGCACTTGGATTGGGTAATCTGCAAGTAAAATGAAATGCGTCAACAGCAAGCACGCAGGAGAGTCAACGAAGCTAAAAGAGAGGCAGGGGTTGAAACTTCAAGGAGAACATGAAGAACCAGAGATGCAGGGGTTCAAAGGGAACGTGGAGAACAGAGAGGCAGGGGTCCAAAGAAGAAAAGAAGAATAGAAGACAACTTCTACATTGGGCTGCACTCAAATATTTTTGCAAAGTTATTATTATGCAAAGAAACTGTGCAGTGTGATTTAAAATATGAGGATAATCCAACAGTAGTTATACACAACTATCAATCACAATTTTATAATGTGAGCTCGGAAAAGATTACTACTACAATGGCAAGTGATGGAATAATCACCCAAATTAATTGTGGGAATACAGAACATGAACTTTAGCTAGATGCAGAGATAGGACATTATTACCATTGCTGTCCAGGTGCCAACCTCATGAAAGTCAAACTTCTATCTTCTTTGAATATGCAATGGTAAGCCTTGGCTTGAAGAGTCTTCACCTCTCCCGATATGGTGTCTTTGGCAAGGAAGGTTATATAGTAATTGTAACCACAACAAAGTCCATAGTTTACTTTCTTGATCCGCACTAGTTCCAGCTTTGCATTCTAAAATTCCCATAAAAAATTAGTCAGTTCATAAAATTAACAAAAGAACAGAACTGTTCTGATCCTAAGTTTCAAAAGGCGCATAGAGAAAACATAGGTTACAATAGTCAAGGAGCTAGGCGCAGACAACTGAGGTCAAAGGCGTATATGTACGCTAAAACGGATTATCGTTACAGATTATCTTGAACTCAAAACATAAACACCATGTTTTGAATATTAACATAGAGATATGCTTCATGTATGAACTAAATCATACACAAATATGGACATCAAAACTCACAATATTAACAACTTCAAACTTCAATAGTTCAAAATGCATAACATTCATAACATAACATAACATAACATAAAGCAAACAAACCTGATGACTGTAACAGATAAATATTCCCTCTAAAAAAATTACAGCTTATCAGGAAAAAAAAGGATAATGGAAATTGTTCGAAGAAAATAGAGGCGCACAACTCATGGTACCTACGATGCCCAGACTTACAAGGGCTATATTTCACTGCCTCGCTGTGCATTGTGCTTGTAGAACTACATGTGTCTCCTCTACTGGAGTTCTAAGTTGGGCAGGGATTATGCTGGTCAAGCCTTGGACAATTTCAAAATCTACACAATCAGGCCCACGTCACTGAATGACATACGGTTTGTTTGGTTCAGATATTTTAGATGGGAAGGAAGGTCAAAGGTATATTGAAGGTAAATAACGATATACAAATACAGGGACCAACTAATCATGTACTAGTACCTATTTTAGTATTTCTCATTAAAACAACTAACAATTATAGGTGAAATAGTAAAACAAAAATCGATCCTTCTATTCACAGAAATCAGCAAACCAAGCAAGCTCAGAGAAAGATACAGATTAACAAGAGAGCAGAGGAAAGATATTACTTTAAAGAATTACTATATAGCACATACGTCAGCATTGTACTTATCAATGGCCATGGAGGTGTAATCCTTCACGAAGCTATAATCAGATCGATACTTATCGTCGTCCTCTGAATTCTCCTCTGGATCCTCCTCTGAATCCTCCTCCACATACCCCTCCAAAGCCTCCTCCGTATAGAGTGGATATACTGCGCCAAATGGGATACCATCTGGTAGGGGGGGACATCAAAACCCTAACAACACAGTAAAACTGAACCATTACAGAACAAAATAATCTATTGTTAAGTCACTATAATTGATAACCGCATAACAAAAGGAAAGGACAGGGCACGCTGATAGGTCACCTGTGACTCAACCAACCGTCTAATGTACACCTTCTTCTCAATCCAAGCTTCTTCACTCTCATACTCGCTCCTGCTTCCGGCATAATCCTCACTGTTGAAACTTTTGGCGTCGTCGTCGCCGTCGCTTCCCAATGTTTCATGTGACACCGGTGGTATTTCCTCGTTCGATATGGTGCTATGGTTGCTATCATCGCTTGTTTTTCCTTCCAAATATGATGGATCAAAATTCGAGAAGTTGAATGTTTTTTCTCCGCCGATGAAATCCGTGTTCAGCATCTCCATGGACGAACTTCACACGTAGAAGCCAAGCAATTTCGTTAATTGGGATTTGATATTGCCGATATTAACAACATGCGGGTTGTATTTGATCATGTGACTCCGTCAAGATTGTATAGACTTCTCAAGATTGTATGGAATTTGAAGTAAGACATATAGAGACAAAAATGGACTAAGTGAGCTTCCTGATATCCGAATCCATACCTGCAATCATAATCTAATACCATGTCTCAGTGCATCACACAACCCACCGCCCCAATCCCCCACTTATCTAATTCCACCCATCTAATAATCCTAGGTCAGATATCAACCCCTCCACCATTACTCACTCGGCCATCCCGTATATTTATGTTCCTATAGTTTAAGGGTGCAGACTTGAAGCTCCAAGATTGAAGCTTTATTTCAGGGATTCAATGAGTTTGCAGACCACACCACAGAAGATTCCGGCGACCTTTTTCCGGCGGAGTTAAGGATTCATCCAGCTGGGGAAGAAATCGAAGCAAGGGGCGAACGTATCCGGCGACTCCGGTGACCTAACAGCTGCAACAGAGAAGTTTCCCACAGAGGAATACACCCCCTTCGCTGCTGCGACCTAACTGCTGCGACTTTTCTCCTCCGCGTCTCACGTTGATGGATTACAAATCTCACCCTTGGGGATGAGACTTGAAAATGGGATTTGCCTTTGTATTTGGGTGTGTAGAGTCCGGATATGTCCAAGTCTTAAATGAAAATCCATGTCTTAGTCCAACATGAATACACCTGGACATTTTGGGATTTATAAAATGTCTTAGAATGTCTTAATTAAATACACCCAGATTTGACAAATCCTAAAATGTCTTAAAATGTCTTGAATGAATACACCCCCCGTAATTTCGTTATTTGGGATTTGATATTGCCGATTTCAACCTGGGAATGGGATATTAATAAGGGCTGTTTGGAACTTATTCTCCTTGCTTCTTTTTTAAAGCAGAATCAGAATCACTTTTCAGAAGCTGTTACCTACCAGCTTTTAAAAAACTGATTCTGGAAGAAAATTAGAGCACCAGAAGTGCTTCTGGAATTTCACCCAAACACTCCAGCTTCTGCTCTCTAAAGGAGCCGAATCAGTTTTGAGAATCAGATCCAAACACCCCCTAACATGCGGGTCGTCATATTTGATTAGGGGAGAGCATCGGACGGGTTCGGGTAGGACGGGTGAGGATTTGGCAAACCCGTTCGGTTATCGGGTTAGGAATTTAAAACCCTACCCTGTGGAATAAAAATTTCGGGCTACTCGGGTTGCCCAATTTCGGATTCCGGTCGGTTTTTATCGGATATTCGGGTTGATTCGGGTAGATTAAAACCATTAAATAACACAAAATTTTGTAGAGCAATACAACATTAGATTAGAGTTTGTACTTTTAGTTTGTACAACTCCATGTCTCCAAACACAGTTAGTTACTTATACAGTTGTTACTTAAATACTTATACATAATAGAGAATAGAGTTTGAGTAATCCAAACTTCCAAAGTTCCAAAATATCAAGTAGCAACAAAAAAATTAACATAATTCCATGCTTCCTGGAGTTCCTGCTTCCATTTCTTCACATATACATTCCTACTTCCAGAGTTCCATCACTTCCATGTGTGTAGGCAGTGTAGCAGACCAGTATCATAATAGTCAATTAGTCATTCAGTATGTTCCTAGGTAAATGACTTGTCAAAAAATTAGTACAAGTGTAGTATTTAGGTTTCAGATTTAGCTTTTGGTTCAGAATAAATTTGTATGAATACTATATACAATCAGGTTTGGCTCAGGTTTAGCTTCACTTCACAATAAATGGGGGCATTCAAACCTATATAGAAATAGAATCAATACCAACCCATTTGTTTTTTCAATATGGTAGAAGTGTAGAAGGCCAGCACTCTAGCAGAGTAGCAGCTTTCATCATTGCCAGAAATAAGTAAACAATAAATGTAAATGGGGGCATATGAAAGTACATAGAATGATAGAAATAGAACCAACACAAGCTGCCATCAATTTCATTACTCGGTCAAAGCTATCATCATTACCAAATATATGGAACACTGGAACAAATAGTATACAAATATAACATCATATTCAAGTACTTGTTGCAAAGTGCTAGTAGACAGTAGTAGGGACATAGTTTGGCTTAGATTTGCATTCACTTCACAATTAATGGGGGCATTGAAACCATATAGAAATAGAATCAACACCAGCTACCATTAATTTCATTACTTGGTGGAAGCTATCATCATTGCCATAAATATGGAACACTGGAACAAATAGTATAGAGTGACTGTATCAATTTGAAGTAGTTCCAACATAGTGCAAGTAGCAGGGGCATAATTTGGCTCAGATTAACATTCACTTCACTATTAATGGGGGCATTGAAACCATATACAAATAGAATCAACACCAGCTACCATTAATTTCATTACTTGGTGGAAGCTATCATCATTGCCATAAATATGGAACACTGGAACAAATAGTATAGAGTGACTGTATCAATTTGAAGTAGTTCCAACATAGTGCAAGTAGCAGGGGCATAATTTGGCTCAGATTAACATTCACTTCACTATTAATGGGGGCATTGAAACCATATACAAATAGAATCAACACCAGCTACCACTAATTTCATTACTTGGTGGAAGCTATCATCATTGCCATAAATATGGAACACTGGAACAAATAGTATAGAGTGAAACAACATCACCATGTCTTGTTGTCACACACACACTTAGGGGTGAAATTGTACCAGTGAATAAGCAACACTTCCAAGTTCCAATTACCATCACAGCAGGCAAGCAGCAGGGCCTCCAATTAGCATTTACAGCCAGAACATTGATAGAATCAAAGCATTTTATTAGTGAAATAACATAGTACAGCATATAAAAGATAAAGTATAAGTTTTACTACTATCTGATCAAGAGAAGGGCCTCCACCAACATTTCCTTCAGTCAATTCTGCATTGAAAACAAAATTAAGTTAGCAAGACATCAAATATAAATACCAAATACTAAAAATGTAATAGTATGTACCTGTTTCCAGCCTATCTACCTCCTCAATGTTTTCTTCAACTGACACAGGCTGGTTGGACATCCTTAACCAGTCTTGAGCACATATGAGTGCTTCTACAATTTTGGCACTCAATGAACTCCTAAAACAATCCAACACCCTTCCACTTGTACTAAATGTGGACTCAGAAGCTACTGTGGAAATAGGAACAGCAAGAATGTCTCTTGCCATCTTAGATAGGATAGGAAACCTCTCACTATTAAGCTTCCACCATCTCAATATATCAAACTCATTGTCCTCCTCAAGAATGTTCTCACTCAAATATAGTTCAAGTTCATTTTTTTTCAAGCTTGAGAGGCCACTATCTTGTTTTTGTTTTTTCAATTGGGCTTTGAATTTAGAAACATGCCTACTTCCACTTGACTCAGATTGTAAGGAAACAGAATTTGGGGTTAATTGAGAGCTTCCACTGACTGAAACATCATAGTTTGTAACATAATCACCATACAACTCAATCAAACCCAGCTTTATCTTTGCAAAGAATGCCTCACCAATCTTATCCCCATACAAAGCATTCAATTGATGTGGCATGTATTCATATTTGTCTCTAGGGTCAAGCACATTTGCAAAGAAAATTAGCATGTTCATTTTTTCTGGATCACCCCAGTACTTATCCAGTTTGGATTTCATACTAGTCCCCATTTTAGATACAGATGCAGTTTTTGAAGAAACCATCTCTTTGAGAACAAGGAATAGATCAGATATTTCAGAGAAGGAATTTGAAGTGACATAAAGAGATCCTGAAATCCTAAGTGTCATATCATAGAAGTTTTGAAGAATGACAACCAAAGTTTTAATTGTAGTCCAGTCCCCAACATCAGGACTGTCACTCCCCAGGTCAACAAGATAGGAACTCTCATTCTCCTCATAAGCTTCAAACACTTTTTCATTGGACATTGCAGATTTCAGCATCAAATATGTAGAATTCCACCTAGTTGGGACATCTAGGTGCAATCCAGCTTTAGTTTCCATTCCAATCAAATCTGAAATGTCCTTGAATTTTTTAAGCCTAGCAGGAGAATTTCTAACATACTTAACAGCATCCCTGACTCTTTGAACAGAAGAATCACTTTCTTTTAAACCATCTTGAACAGCCAAATTAAGGATATGAGCAATACACCTCATATGAAGGTACTTAACTTTTACAGAAGAGGCACCCCAAGATAAAAGTTTCTTCTTAAAAAAGCCAATTGCAGTGTCATTACTGCTAGCATTATCAACAGTCACAGTGAAGATAGATTTTAATCCCCAATCTACCAGGCAAGACTCTAGGGCTTTAGCTAAATACTCTCCTTTGTGGGAAGTCACAGGAACAAAGGAAATTATTTTTTTATTCAGCTTCCACTCATTATCAATGAAATGTGCAGTTATACACATGTAATTGATCCTTTGTACAGAGGTCCATGTGTCAGTTGTTATACTGACCCTCTGAGTGTGTTCCCTAAACAACTTTTTCAGACTTACTTTCTCATCTAAGAAGATTTGGTAGATGTCTCTAGCAATGGTCCACCTGGAAGGAATTTGGAACCTAGGACAAGCTACAGAGATAAACTTCCTAAATCCTTGTCTGTCCACAAATCTAAATGACAGCTCATCAATGATAAGCATTTCAGCAAGTGCTCTCCTAATTGCACCCTGATCAAACACCCAAGTCCCCAACACTCCAATGTTTTCAGATGTTGGATTACACTGGACTGGTTGGAAAGTGAGAAGGGCTTGTCTAGCATCCTTTGAGGCAGGCAATTTCATACAACCAAGTATGTGATTTCTAAGAGAAGAAGTATCATGCTTCTTAGACTGACAACAATATGTTTTAGCACAATGTATGCATCTTCCTTTGATAACAACACCATTACTATCTTTGATCTTAACAAACTGATCCCATATTTTAGATCTGGACTCTACCTCCTTTCTCTTATTTCCAGTAATATTTGTCTGCTGTGTGCTGGTGTTAGGACCAGCATCATTAGCTTCCACCACAGGTTCTTGGGAAACAGGAGTCAGAGGAGGTTGAGAACCAGATGCAGGTATGGTATCCATACATTCAACTTCCATTCTGATAGGTCATAGGAACATATAGTTCAAAAAACTCAATGCAAGCATCACAGAATGAACACAACATCATACATTCACATTAAAGTCTGGAACAATCAGCAA